CCTACACGAAATATAATGCCAACTTTTGCAATATTTTCCTTTAATTCATAACAACTTTGTTTGCAACCAAAGAGCAGAAAGATTCAAAACCGATACAGCCCGCAATTCAAGGCACAATGAGAGAAAAAGGACGTCAAATTCCCAGGGAAAAAAATCAAGAAATGAATGAACTGTGCATAACAAGAGATAGGGCAAATGAAAAGATCAAAATAAAAATTGGAATACGAAAAAGAAAGAATAATTTTCAAAGAGAAGGGAGAAGAAGAAGATGATGAAAAACCTTCCATTGGCTGCGGACCGTGAGGAAAGTCAGTGTGTGGGACCAGCATCTCGTCGTCCTCCTGCTGCTGTTGCTGCTGCAAAAAGAAAAACAAAGAGAAAAAAGCAAAGCTTAGAGACGAGAGGTCGGATCTGCTACCGAAACCCTAGGAAATACCGATGCACCGAAACCAGTGGTTTACGGATCGCCCAATTGAATTGAAAGTAGAGAGAGAGAATTGGAGATTACATCTAGCGGTGGAGGAGTCATCAGAGTCATGGGTGGGGATTGGCGACCGTCCGATCGTCGAATCAGGAAGGTAGAGAGAGAAAGGGAGGAGAGAGAGAGAGAGAAAGAGAGATGGAAGTGAGAAGAACGGAGAGAAGGGGAAAGGAAAGGGAAGGGAAAGAATGGGGGGGTGAGTTTGCTGAAAGCTGGGTTTAGTTTGAGAGAGAGAGAGAGAGAGAGGGGGGGGGGGGGGGGGGGGGAGAGAGAGAGAGGGGGGTGGGACACCGTGGGGATTTTGGTAAACAATGGAGGAGAAGACGAGAAAATTAGGGCCGATATTGAATTGGAAGACCCGACTCTCTCTCTCTCTCTCTCTCTCTCTCTCTCTCTCTCTCTCTCTCCTTCTGACTTACACTTCTGAATGTCCCAGAAGGCCCGGCCCAAGCCCGTCTCTGTTTTCATATGGATAGGAGTTCTGGGCTCGTTAACATTTGATTGATAAAGGGAGAAAGAGGAAAATAAGTTAAGACTTGAGATGAATTAAAATTAATAGGTCAATAGTTTATATAAGTTAATAAATAAGTTAAATTATTATTTTCGTCCATAACTTTTCTGGTTGTGAACCATAACTTAATAAGTTATTATCTATAAATCACGGTTTTTATTCATAATTTGTCTGGCTATGAACCATAACTTGGCAAGTTTATCCATAACTTATCTGGTTATGAATCATAACTTGACAAGTTATGACCTATTAATTTCTATAACTAAAAGTTAACTTATATACTTTCTTAAACTCTTCATATTGGCATATTTTCTACTATTTCCCATTAATAAATGTAGAAATGACACGAATCCCATCCTTTGAGTCCATGAGTTTCACCTTTACTTTTAATTAAATATTATCCTTATAACTAAAGATATTAATTAAGGACTCGTTTAAATTGACTTAAAAAAATTTATTTTTGACTTATTTAATCTAAAAATAACTTTTAAATCTATTTAGATATATAATCTTAAAATATTTTTTTGACTTTTTTAAGAATTTTTAAAACAAATTATCTTCTTAGTGCTTGTAAAAAAAGTATTTATAAAAAACTTTTTATTTACATTTACGACCATAACAAATTAAATATTACATCAATATCTTTTTACAACATTACTTTTTTAGGCATTATCCAAACATTAATAAAAAGGCCTCCACTTATGATTATTTTCTTCTACTACTTAAAAATACAAACACAAGTATCCCAAATGGGCCCTAAGAGTAAAAGGTCAAAATCTAGTAAAAAAAAAAGCTAATCAATTTAATTTTTTCTCAAGAGTAAGTTCAATAATTTTGTCTTTCACCAAATTTTCAGGAAGTGAAAAGGTGACAAATACCCCTTGTTTTGTATGGGTCTTGATTTCTATCATTTATTTTTTATTAATATCAATTTAATTAATATTATATTAATCAAAAAGATAATCATGGGTAAAAATCTAAACTCGTGCACTTTTTAAGGGTAAATTCTCTAATTTTTCTTTAAGAAATACTACAAAGAATTACAAAAAATGAGAGAATGAAGTAAATCATAGATTTAAAGTAAATAATTGAAGTAAATAACAGATTTTAAAATCATTTAAAGTAAATATCAATTAATAAAAATTTTATGTGGTAAAAAACTTTTTATCAATCGTAAGTGAAAATTTTATGTAGTAAAATTTTTTTTACTAGTCGTAAATTTAAAAATTTACGCGGTAAATTTTTTTTTTACTGTTATTTACTTCAAATATTTTAAAATCTACTATTTACTTAATTTAGTTTCATAAATATGTTATTTACTATAATTTATGTTTAAAAAACAAAGAGGGAGAGTAAAAATATATGGGTTGTCATGATTTTATGTGTGCGTATATTTTATGTCATTATAAATAATTGGAATGTCATTATAGTTTTTATTTTTTCTTTATTAATTGAATGAAAATTATTTATTTTTAAGTGAAATAACATAAATAATATTTTTACAATTTTGAGTTGTATTTTTTATTTTTTCCTAATAAAAAATGGCAAAACTTATGGTACGAAGTATTTTTTTTACCCTATCAGTTGGTGTTGCTTTTTAACTGTCAGAAAAACAAGGATGAAGATTGAATAAAAGGGGGAAAAAAAGAAGAAGAAGAAGAAGAAGAAGAAGAGGAAGGGGGTGAGTTCCCACACGCGTTGCCACAAAGCCAAGTGAATTACCGCTTTTAGAATAGTTAGATAAGATAATATAGGGATAAAATTATTTTAGTATCCTTTAATATAATAAAACATCTCGCACATTCATTCATATTTTAATAATATATATAAAAAGGTACCCCAATTTTGAAAAACAATTTTTTAGTATCCTAAACCCCATTTTTAGTATCTGATATGTGAATTGTGTCATTACCATTATTTTTTTATTAAATGGGTCAAAAAACATTATAATTTGAGGAAAAAAACAGCAAGTTATTTTTTGTAACCATACAAACCTTATTTGTTTGGTTACAAAGATAACTTATTGCATTTTTTCTTGAATTATAATGTTATTTTGACTCATTAGGGTGTCAATGTGGGAATGCACAACTTATACTGTATTGGCCATTTTGTCTCAAGGGATTGATGATTGTTACTATGCAATCATCCTACCTTTTGGGACTAAACTTTCTCGTTGGTCATACTTCCAGTTGAATCATAACTTTAATACCATCTATAACAACCAACACCGTCACTTTTAGTATGATATTATTAGCACAGTTTTGCTCTTAAATTTCACCCCAAAATAGACAATATCATACCAAGAGAATATGTGGGTCATTATAGAGAAAATCGCTAAACTTACCCTTAGAATACACAAGTTTAATATTGTATAATTTACTCATGATTAATACTCTTTTGACTTATTTGACTAAAAAAGTATTAATTAATAGTAAAGAATAAAAATCCAATCTCATGCCCCCTAAAGAGTGTTTGTCTCAATTTCCCGTCATTATATGATCTGTTATTTTGATTTAAATTTTGAGCTAATCCAACAAAGAGTCTATAAGATCTACCCTAATCTCATTGTTATCCCTAGCTTTTAAAAATTTATGAGTGCGTTTGGAATTCGTTTTAAAAATGATTTTATTTTTTGTATGAAAATATAAATAAAAACATTTTTAATCTCACAAAAAAAAGCATTTTTAAAAATGTGTTTGATAATTTTATTAATAGATTATTTTCAGTATAAAAAAAATCCATTAATGTCTCCCTCTCTTTGCTTGAGAGAGGAGAAAATAAAAACAAAAAATGAAAAACGACTAAGAGTCGTTTTTCATTTCTCTCATATTTTACACTAAACTAAAAAATAGTTTTCATTTCTATTTGTTATCTTTAATTATACCAAATGCCGTTTTAAAATCGTTTTTATTTTTTTCTCAAAAACGTGAAAAATAAAAATAAGAACAATTTCAAACACAACATATATTTTTCAATTCCTAGTTTTTACGGGCATGTTTCTGTAATGGCCGGAAAAAAATTTAAGTCTAATCCGGACAGTCCAGTATTTGACTAAGATTCTTTCCGGAATAGTAAGTAGTAGAATTTTGATGTAATCAAAAAAATATTATGTAGAAACTTTATGTACATGGTAAAATTTCCCGAAATATGTAAAGTTATAATACAAATATTCTTACAAAGGAAATTCGTAAATATCACTTATAAATAGTGAGATATTAGTTAAAAGTTAAAAATTTTAGCGGGTATATTTTAGTTATGAAAAACTGAAATATTTGGTATGTGACCAAATAACCAGCTAAAAAAAAGAATAGAAATATTAGAAGTAAGGAAAATAGCAAAAGTTCCTGAAACAGAATTTTTCCGAGTCAGTTTAAGCAGGAAACTGCTAAAAAAAATACCGCAAGGATACGCATTAGGGGCAATTCTGAATCAATTAAGATGATAATTTTAGAAAAAGAAATTGACTAATGAGATACCCAAGAGAATTTGGTTGAACATGAGAAGTTTGACCCAGGATACTCGACAGTCCAAAAAAAAAAAGCAGGTTGAATAAAGTTATAATATATGTATATATATATATATATTACATAAATGATTATTTCTAAGTAGCGTTCCTTAAGAAATTAGTTTATCTAAATATATATATATATATGATCATTTCTAAGTACGTTCCCTAAGAAATTAGTTTATCTAAAATAGTATATATATATATATATAAAAGAGATTATCTTTAACACGTTTAAAAAAAAAAAAGGGGGTGAAAAGTATAGTTACCGTGAGGTGGAACCTCACATGCATTAATAACATGTGTCATTATGTAAACTAAGTTGAAGGGTGACTCATGTGGCTCACGTAATGAAGATTCACGTTGGTTACAAGGATATTACTTCAACGTGAAGCATAACAAAGGAGAGTTTTGGAAAAAAAAAACGTGAGAAAGTGACGAAGAAAAAAAAAACAGAGAGTTGTTAGAGAGAGACGGAGAAGGGAAAATCAAGCAGTTTCACTGAAATTTCTTCCATTCAATCCGATAGAAACGTAACCTGAGGCGTTCTAGCGGAAAAACCTCAACTTCTGAAGGTAAGATTTTAGAGTTTTCGTGATAATTCTATATTTTCTTGATTTAGATGAATAGTAACCCATCTCAGAAAAACTTCTGTTAAAGTGAAAATTGAAACTGAAGTTTTGTAGAGTATCGTAATAAGAGTTTAACGGTGTAAGTATTAAGACGATTGAATAAAGTATTGGTGGATTTCTATCGAAAATCCATGAGCCTAGATTAAGAAAGAACATATGTTTTGTTCAATTTTATGTTGGAATCTGTGTTCAGAAATGTAAATCTTGACTCCAGGTACCGAAATCAGAAGTAAAACGAGTTATTAAAAACTCGGGAAACGAGAAAAATAAGGCGAAACTCTGCCAAAATTTAGTTCGAGTAATTTAAACTAAAACTGGATTTCAAGAGGAATATAGGATTAAAGTGTGAAAAGAAAGATGTTTCGATAATCAGTGATGGTTAGAAACCGAACACAACGAGAATTCACAGTTTTAGACCAAAATTGAAAATTAGGCCCATGACTGAGTAATTTGCATGATTTTAGTGCAAATCCTTGAGGTAGGAAATGGTTTGAGGTTGAATACCAAACATAAGGATTGTAGACTTTTCCGAAGTAAATTTCAATGTAATTGTTGATCTTAGATTTTGAATCTAACGATCAAAAAGCAATAGGGCTGATTAACGGTTGAAGTTGGAAAGCGTCAAGGGAGACAAAGGACGCATACAGTAGAATTTTGAATGATAGATACAATGTGAATGCTAGATACTATGTTAGGTAAGTATCTACAAGACTTATGTAATCGTAGAACTTTATTCTACAAAAATATTTATCGATGTTAGGTCGAGATCAAACTAAGAAAAGTGAAATGTTAAAGTTTAACGAAAAGTTAATCTCATGATAAAATGCTCAATAATGCACAAATTCATAAGATTTAACTAAAGTTACCGTTTCAATGAGAAAATTGATAAACGGTAAGAGACCAAACGTCCTGTTTGTACCAGCCTTCGAAGGAAAGGTTATTATGAGACTATGAAAGATATGAAACCGTGACTGAGTTGGATTGGTTAGCTACCCCACTCCTCACTGGTTATGCACGCTATGGTACAACAGGACAGGGCCCCTAAGAAGTAAAAGACAAGAAAATGAAACACGGAAACCATTCCATATAACGATATGGTATCCGTAAACAAGAATGAAAAGAATGAGAAATACAGAATGAAAGTCGTTTAGAATTTTGTACTAGGTTATATGATATGAATGCATTTATGGGTATGCATACTTATTGCATCTGTTATGACGTATTGATACTTGCTGAGCAAAAGCTCATTAAGTTTGTTCATGTTATAGGAAGCACGGGTAAGGCACCGGCTCCCTAAAACTTGATGCTGGGCATGCAGAGAGGGTGTAGCAGCGGAATGTGGGCAAGTGGGTTGTGGACGCATCATGTGTTTTGGAAACACTGCTGAACTTTATATGTAAAATAAAATAGTGTTTTATGTATTTGATGACTAGTGTAATAGAATGTTGTCAGAATGCTACAGCATTTGAACGTACATGGTAAGATTAAAAAAAAAAAATAGCCTGAAATTTTAAGAAGTTATAATTAGGGTCGTCATAGAGGTTAAGAAATGCTAAATATGAGTATAGGATGATGATCAAAAGTTAGGGTCGTCACAGCTTCCTCGGCCATTCCTTCAACAACTGCTAGACCTTGCTGCTCCCTTCTCCTTGCTAGGAACATTCTTTCAATTTCTGGATCCAAGGGCAGCAAATCACGGTCTTGTTGTCGATTCATGCGAGAAGAAGAATATCTGAAATAGACGGACACAAAATTGTCAAGTAAAATAACGAAAACACTTGAATCTTACAAAGACCAACTATGGTAACAGTCCCCGGCAACAGCGCCAAAAACTTGTTGCATGATTTATGTGCTCGCAAGTGCACGAGTCGCCTCAAGTAATAAAGTGTGAGTAGAGTATCGTTCCCACAGAGAAAGTTATCAATATATTTTTCTTAATAAGATCCAAGAGATGCAACGTAAACAAATTTAATGGTTTGATTCAATTGCGAAGACTACAAGAATTGCAATAAACGCAAGTAAATAAATGTACACTAAGTTATCAAAGGATAAAATCAATCTATGTGAAAACTGGGACTCAATTTCCCCTTCCCTGCAATCTGGCTATTTATGCTATGACTTTTGCTATAGCAATGCTGTCAGTTAACCTGAAACACGAATTTAGCACAAGAATCTTCCGATATGGTTGTGATTTCGCCTCTTTACTCATATTTCAACATATTCCTAGGAGAAATCTAACCATAGAGGTTAAGTTAAGCGTGGGTTTCAATTGGGCTATGTGAGGCAAGTGTATATTCCTATACTACTCGTAAATTAACTAGATTTCTCTGTGAAACTTAGCTAAACAACACATTGTTCAACATTGGTCTAATTCCAATCAACTTCCAGCAAATTGAACTCATAATATTCTATTTAAGATGGCCAGTCAGTAAACAAAAATGAACAATAACATTTATATTGAACAAACTATAACAACATCAAAATAGACAAAGTGAGCATAAACAATCGTTGATTATAGTTCTGGGTACTTTATCATCCCAGTCAAATAAGTTTAGCTCATACTAGCTCTATTAATTTCAAGAAAATACACATCCATGAATTGAATACAGAGGAAGAGGAAAGATAAACCAAATGAGGAGGTCAATAGTAAAGATTAGGTGAAGCTTGGTGGATTCCTCCCGTGGCTTCACTCCCTGAGATTTCTAGCCAAAAATGTGTCTCCTACATACTTGTTTGCCTCCCTCTCTTTCTCTGGTCTTGGTTTCTTTCTTTTCCTCTCTGCTGCCTTTTTTCTCTCTACGAGTCTGTCTTTTATTTTCCCCTCTTACTTCCTTAATTGCTGCCTGCGGTGCCTCTCCCCTCCTTTGGGTTTCCAGGTGCATTCCTCTTTAGGGCAATCAAGGACGCTGAGTTGGCATGTTGGGTCCAGCTGACTAGGCACCAAATCCGTCTTATGCGTTCTATGTTCTAATTCCCGTGCAAAGTTATGCGCTGACGTCATCCACTAAATGCATGCTGTCACATTTTTACTATAGCAAATACTGCAACATTTATCATCACAAAACCTGCAAGCTTAGAAACGACATTCTCTTGGATATACGTTAGCAATTTCCTCAAAATCAACACAGAAACGACACACCAATGAGTCTCAGTAGAAAGCATCACAAGAACTAAAAGTTGATCAAATAAAGCATAAGATTAACCACTAAACCTTTGGATGAGCCAACTATAAGCCTAGAAATGCCTAAAATAACTCTAAATCCTAGAGTTATCAAAAATCCCACGTCGACTAGACATGAAAATGATAATGGATTTAAAAGGACTTGGATTACTTCTTAAGGTTAACCTTTTAAACAGAAGCCTAAGTGGTTTCCATCTTAAAAAGTTAATTTGTTTGAGTGGAGTGACCCAATATGTATATAGCTGTAATTATATTTGTATTTAGACGATGTGAGATTCAAATATTTTACACTTAATAAACTCTTTCCTCCCTTGTTTATATAGGAATTGTTGTGTACCAATTTCAAATTGTAAATAAAGTTAGCAGCGTAATAATTCAGGCCCTGTTTGGCATGCTAGTGGCGAAGCTTTTTTTTTTTTTTTCCCCCAGTGGTGGCAATAAAAAAAGAAACAGATAACTTAATATCTTAAATAGAGAGATAATTAAATATTTCAATTATTTAGTAAGAGCGTGGTTATAAATCTTTTTATAAAGTGGGGCACAACTAAAAGTTTAATTTTATAAAAGATAATTTTAAATGCTTGCGTAGTGATACATTATAATTTCATAAAAACTTTAGAGATTATGTCAAATCCTATCTAATGTTTAGATGTGATTTAATCTCGTGAGGTCCATAAAATTAATTTTTTATCATCAAATACGAGAAGTCTTAGACTGAAGACTTGGAAAAGAGAAGACGACAAAACTAGCAAATTAAGTATATCGAAAAAGAGACATTTATTGCAGCTTCCATGAAGCTATAGCTCTCAAAAATGAGATGAGCAAAGATTTCAAAAGTAAATGTTATATAGATCTAAAGACATCATATAGTTTAGGCTTTCATATCAAAGCCTAATAATTACGTTAAGGTGAAATTATTTGGATTAGAGTACTTTTATTGCAGCTTCTTGGAATTATCTCACCTGCCAAAATTTAAATGTTTAAAATATTGTTCAACCATCCAAATCATGCTGTATAATTTATTAAAAGTAAAATATTTTTTACCTCAATTTTTCATATTAATATTTCAGTCTATCAAATAAAGTGGTGTAATGCAATTAATTAGATACCAAAAGGGCACTAAGAATGAAACACGTGATTTGCCTCCCTTTTCTTACATATCAAGTTGAAGTCGCGCTCTAACATTGATGTACTTTTGACGATTCCACAGCCTAGTCTTGCATGATGATATCTTTAAAGATTCTTTGAAGACTTATAGTGGAGACTTGGAACTTTAGAGTTGATCTAATTATCTCATGAGGTCCATAAAATTAAGTTTCATTATCAAATACACGAAGGCTTATATGAAGACTTAGACACTTTAGATGTGATCTAATTTCATAGGGTCCATAAAATTAATTTATCACCTCCTTTAAAAAAAAAAAAAAAAAAAAAAAAAAAAAAAACCTACATATTGAAGACTTGGAACTTTAAATGTGATCTAATCTCGTAGGGTCTGTAAAATTAATTTTTCATTCAAACACAAGAAGACTTATTAGTGATGACTTGAAGCTTTAGACATGATCTAATATCGTGAGACTTGTAAAATTAATTTTTTTTATCGTAAGAAACAATGTCTTATAGTGAAACCTCGAAACTTTAGACGTGATCTAATCTCGTGGGGTGTATAAAATAAATTAATTTTTCATCACTAAATATAACATGACAAAATTAGAAAATTAAGTATAGAAAAAGAGACATTTATTGCAACTTCCATGAAGTTATAGTTCGGAAAGGCGACATGAGCGAAGACCTCGATAGTAAATGTTATATGTTATATAGATATAAAAACATAATAGCAATGAATACCCCACCTCTCATTAAAGTTCCAAGTCTTCACTAAGAATGAAACATGTGATTTGTCACCCTTTTCTTACATATCAAGTTGAAGTCCCTTTCTAATATTATCGTTCAACGTACATCCAATGACACCACAATTGAAAACATCTCTAAAGATTCTTTGAAGACTTATTGTGAAGACTTTGAACTTTAGAGGTGATCTAATTAGCTGGTGTGGTCCACAAAATTAATTTTCATCATCAAACACACGAAGACTTATATGAAGACTTGAAACTTTAGGACCCATAAAATTAGTTTTTCATAACCATTAAAAAAGAGTTACATTGAAGACTTGAAACTTTAGATGTAATCAAATCTCGTGGGGTCTGTAAAATTATTTTTTCATCAAAGACTTATTAGTGAAGACTTGGAATATGGTCATTTAGGTCCAACAGTTTTAAAAAAAAAAAAAATGGTCCAACAAAAAAGTCCCTGTATCCAACTACCATATGCCGTAACCTCTATCCCATTATTTGCATACATCCGCAACCACGCATTGGAAGGAACAAAAACAAACCACACCTAAGCAAGACCGTCCATGGGCTTAATCCAAAATCTCCTCAATGTCTTCTCCTTCCTTTTAATTCTAACTCTCTCCTTTGCCTCATCTAGAGCAACCCAGATAGAGATCCTCAATAACTGCACCTACACCGTTTGGGCCGCCGCCAACCCGGGCGGCGGAAAGCAGCTAAAACAAGGCGAGACATACACTCTCAGCAACATAACCAGCTCAGGCCGGATCTGGGGCCGGACCAAGTGCGCTTTCGATCGCGAAGGCCATGGCAAATGCGAGAGCGGTGACTGTGAAGGCCGGCTCCACTGCCAAGCCAACGGTCGAGCCCCTAACACCCTGGCCCAATATTCACTAAACCAAAGAAACAATGATGTCTTCTACATCTCTGTTGTTGAAGGGTTTAACATTCCTATGGAATTCAGCGTGTCGCCGTCATCGCCGCCATCGTCATCTTCAAATTGCAGCAATGCCATTAGCGAATGCACTGCAGATGTAAACGGGGCGTGTCCGATGGAGTTAAGAGATCCGGCGGGGTGTAACAATCCTTGCACCGTGTTCCGAAACAATCAGTTCTGTTGCAATTCCGGGATGAGCATTTGCAAACCTACGAGTTATTCCGAGTTTTTTAAGGATCTTTGCCAGGACGCCTTTACTTTCCCTTATGATTTTGATCAGAGAAACACTTGCCCAACTGGGACCAACTACAACGTTGTCTTCTGCCCAAGTCAGTCAACCAAAACAGGTATGTTTCTCGTCTCCCCTACTCATACGTTACTATGACTTTCTTTGTTTCTCGTCTCCCCTACTCATACGTTACTAACTGTCCCCACTCAAAGAATTAGGAAAATAAAAAGAAAATTTTCACCTGTTTAGAACCTTAGGAAAATTTATAAGAAAAAAAGTGAAAATCCACTCAAATTTTTTATCCCTTGTTTAGTAGTTGAAGAAATTTATTAAAAAAATTGAATTTTTTTTTTAAATAAATCAATTTATCTCTGGGCAGTACTACAGTACCGTATGGTACTTTTACGTATTGATAACGAATTAATATTTCTAGAGACCGTCTGATTGAAACCAATGTTTTCAATGTAATTAGAAAAAAGCCAAGAAAAAAAATCCATCAGATTTCTTTTTTTCTTTCCTCCAAATAATCCGGATTCCAAACAGGGCCGTAGTTGGAAACATTATTTCTCCAAATTACGAGCCCTAAGCTTGTAAAATGTCTTTTCGCTATTCAGTGATTACCAAAACACAGCCTTGATAATTAAACCTCTCATATGAAGGTATGATTATTGTCTACTGGGGCCAGAGCGGAAATGAAGGAAGCTTGGCCGATACATGTGCCACAGGCAATTATGGAGTAGTGAACATTGCTTTTCTTAACACTTTTGGCAGTGGCCAGACCCCATCGCTCAACCTTGCTGGCCACTGTGACCCGACGACGAACGGGTGCACTCGTTTGAGCAACGACGTCAAAGCTTGCCAAAGCAAGGGTATCAAGGTCATGCTTTCCATTGGTGGTGGTGTTGGTAGCTACAACCTTTCTTCTGCAGAGGATGCAAGGTATAATAAGTTCTTGGATATTTACTTCTCCTTATCCTCTAGGAAAATGTTATATATCCAAATTCATGCTCAAAACTTATATATTCTTAAATTGACATTTGCTTGTGAGCCTAGTTTTTTTTCTTAAATAAAAAAATAAAAAAACCAATCTATAAAATTTTGACACATTGCATAGATAAAAAATTCTAATTAAAACAAATAGAACCGTGAAGGCGTGAGTGAACCACTCCACTGGTACCCAAAACAAAAAAATCAATTATAAAAAAATAATAAGTAATAAAATAAACAAAAAATTCTCCTCAAGCAACCTTCTTTCTTTTCCTCTTCTTCCGCTTCTGTTTCTAAATCCCTCGTTCATTGAAAAGAAGGATTTTACAGAAAAAAATTAAATTTTTTTTTTTTCTGTAAGCAAAGCTTCATTAAAAAGATATGAAGCTTTGTACTCTTCGACAAGTGGGATTAAAACCACCGGCCATAGTCAGTAGAGATAATTATCTTCAAATCTAAAAAATATGACCATCTTGAGTTTTCAAGTGGTTGTCGGTTTTTTTTTTCTTGACTCTGCATGAGTTTGAAAAATAAAATAAAATAAAAAGAAGAAAGAAGTGATCGCAGAAAAATTTTTATATTGATAATTAAATAAAAAGAAGAAACGGTTTTCAATAGTAGACGTGGGAATTTGCCACGTCCGGAGCCCCCGCGGAGTTGAAAATTAAGAAGCCGAATTTTAATATTTTAATTTAGTGTCCAACCAATTAAATTATACTGTCATCTTATAAAAAATATAAAAAAAATTACATAATTAGTTAGATACTAATTAATACACTAAAATTGGACATAAGATATGAGTCCCATGCACAAAAACATATTTTTAATATTGAAGACAACGTTATAAACTATTATTATCCTCGCTAACTGAACTCAAAGTAGAGAATGGATTGAAGACAACAAAAGCATGATTCTTTGAAGACATATCTTTTCAATGAATAACATCTTTTCCTTGGAAGAATTGTCTTTGACAAGAGTAAATGACTTAACAAATTTATCTAGATTTGAGTGAGAGGCGCACTTGGATTGAAATAGAAAAAGCGTCACTGGTCTCTAGCGTTAAAAATCCATTACCAGGCGACTGATGTCGCATCCAACTTCTGCATAATGGCCGTTTCAAGTAGGCCCGTCTATTTCTTCAAGAAGCTTTTTAGACTGCCCAACTCAAATCATGTAGACAAATCCACACTTTCGCATTAGCGGTTCACTAGCCTTTCATATTGAATTTTTGCATCTATTTTTGCAGATAAAAGACTTCCGGTTGAGCATGGAATTTTTTTTTTGGTTGATATTAGCTTTAGCATTTTAAAGCAAAATAGTGTACAACTCGTATAACATAAAGATCCGCCAAAGCAAGAACGTGACAAGAAATCAAGAATCCAAAAGAAACAAAAAGGGAAGACTGAGAATGGAATATACACAAAAAACTAGCAAGAATCTGATCGAATCATGTCAGAAAACAGCCAGAATGAGGCCAGATTCGCGGCGAAAGCAGGGTGACGGCTAGGATTTCGTGAGATTCTAGCAGAGCTCTTTTCTTCATGGCCCGTTAACATTTTCTAATCAAATATTAACTCAATGGTTAAAGCATACTACTTACACAAATCTGCTTCTTTAGGATGTAAGAGAAAAAAATAACACCAAAATAAAGAATTTCGCTAATAGTAGAAATTGAGAATGCAGCTCCTTCCCCACCTCTTTATTTATTTATTTTTCCCCTCTTGGGAGTCCAATTAGAGGGATTATAGTTTGGGTCTATATACCATGCGAAGAGCTTTTACTAATTATGGGAGTTTGTACCTTCCTTTCCCTTCATACTTAGAGCACGTTTCGTACGTACATTGGATTAAACATAAATATTTGAATCGAAATTTAAATTTGTAAGAGAAAATGTTATAACAAAAAGGTTTGAACCGTAGTTCGAACCTATGAAACATTTCATTATCCGTTGTTGGTATTTTGATTTGTGTTTCTCTCTGGGATTATTGGTTTAAAGTTTTGCTACTAAACCATGCAGAGTAATTGCAGACTACCTGTGGAATAACTTTCTTGGAGGCCAATCAGATTCCAGGCCTCTAGGTGATGCAGTTCTGGATGGGATTGACTTTGATATTGTGGGAGGCACAACACGGTACTGGGATGAACTTGCCAAGGCACTAATTGCGTATAGCCAGCAGATGAATAAGGTCTACTTATGCGCATCTCCACAATGTCCGTTCCCGGATGCATGGTTAGGCAGTGCACTAAACACCGGCCTATTTGACTTTCTCTCGGTCCAATTCTACAACAACCCTCCTTGCGAATATTCTGGCAATGCGCAGGATCTGAAGAGCTATTGGAGCAAGTGGATGTCGATCCCCGCTGGCCAAATATTTCTAGGCTTGCCTGCTTCCCCGGAGGCTTCCGGTAGTGGCTATATTCCCCCTGATGTGCTCTCATCTAAAGTGTTACCATCCATCAAACGCTCCCCCAAGTATGGAGGTGTTACGCTTTGGTCTAAGCAATATGATAATGGCTATAGCTCAGCAATTAAGCCTAATGTTTGAACTACGGAGCCATTAGCATAAGACAACAACTATACATACGCAGTGCTAATGTTAATTAGTTAAAGAAAATACATATATATATATATATATATATATATGAATGTATAATATGCATGCAGATGCAGGCTTGCTACGCAAATTTGCAGTTTCTAAGTTCCTTAGAGTTAATAATCGCGCCAATAATATCATAATGATGTGTCATTGGTCGTTGCAGATTAAGAACAACTTCCAGTGTAACAACTGTGAGGATCCTTGTTTTTAGTCATCACTACTACTGTGACGCCCCTCCTATGAGGCCGCCACTGTAACTTAAACTTTAACTTGTACTTACTGGGGTTTCTTAAAATTTGCGGAACATTT